CAATTTCAATCACTGCGTGGTGAGTTGTGGTGTTCTCCAGTACACAATCAAAGGCTGCCTGCAAGCAGCGACCTGCAGCCCACATGAGCATCCATAGAAGGAGGAAGAAGCCGCACCGCTATTGATCGGAATCAGTATCTCCTCGTGAAGTTCGTGAGTCGCTGTGGGCCATCTATGTCAACCGCGTCATACTAAAGAGTATAAACAGAGTGAAACCCACTCAAATTCCTATTCCTACACAAAACACAAGCTGCTGCTGCAGTTAACACATTATATTTATTATATAAGACCACGTAGTCCTACGCCACCATTGCGTACAACCTCATAGGGCTGTCTCTTGTAGTTTTTTCCTTCATTTTGTTTCCGTCAATCTTGTTTTCCGTGCTGAGCACCAATGCTACCGATACCAGAGAGGCAGCTCCCACACCTGGACCTTATTTATCGACCCATCAACGCATGAACCGGGGACTAACGGCTTAAATTTTCAAGTTATTTGCCTTGAAAAATATTAATTGCCTTCTCAACACTGCTCACTAATTGACGCCATTTGACGTAGGGCTACGTCTTTCTTTATTATACTGGGGGTCACATTACAAAATCGAAACTGAGGCATGTAACGAAAATGGGGGAAGTTTTCAAACGCATATTTCTCAAAACCATTCATGGAAAATATTTCATGCAATATGCGATTTTACGGAGAATTTATCCAGCAGTTTTTAGTGTATAGTACAAATAGTAAAAAAATTAAACCATTAAGAAATTTAACGAACAAAATAGGAATATTTCACGAACTAATCAGAAGAGCGGACGGATGAGAAGAACCTATATTATCTCACACGGACATCCTTTTCCAGATCGTGCACAAATTTGCCTTCCACAGCACTTTCTGGCAAGACGGCTGATCTGATCGGAGCTGAGTGGAAACTGATTACGCAAGAATAGTGGAAGAGGAAGATTAGTCAAAATGTTCGTCCACAAAAGGATTTGCCAAACCACTTCCACCATCAGTTGCTGCCAGATAATCGAGCTGATTGGAGTTAGCAGAAATGTTTAGAGTAGAGGGAAAGGAGGAGCAGTGGAAAGGGATCTATATCTATGGTTAGAAAATGGCCACTATAGCTAGTTTACTCTCTCATACCTCCGCAAATACCGTCCGGCCCGGACGGGAGAATTGCTCTTCGTCGTTCTAAAATGCTTCTGCCAAATCTGCCAAGTTTTAAGTACAGTTTAAGTTCACTAGCACCAGCACACCAGCACAAATGTAAAACCCCTTAACTAAAGCTACAGCACAAGCGTGCAAAACGGTTCAGTACCGGATAGGTCAAAACTGCCCTAATAGAAATTGTAATGTAGGAAACATCAGCAGACATCTTCAATACATTAAATTTTAACGTGTATTGCTGTACCCTTAATGTATTCAGACTTCAGTGGGACGTCCAAGTACATAAAAATACATTAGCCTCAAACGTTACATCAGAATCAAACGTCTTGACGATGTAAAATTTGACATCAAAATACATCCAATGACAACAGAACCAAACGTTACATTAGAATCAAACTTCATCACGATGTAATTTGTTGCACGCATAAAATATCAGAATACATCCAATGACAACAATGACATCCAATATATTACAAAATTTCTGATGTATACACCATGTTACCATAGAGGTAACTCTAAGACTAGAGGGTCCCGAAATAACGTGCTCAACTTTTTGGCTCCGCTCTGGTACTCTCTTCGGTCCCAAGCTAATCGATTCACTCCTCGAAACATAGGAAAAACCAATAACCCCTCATTTTATCTGTCAAACTTTCATAGCGAATCAAAACAAACATTGCGTAGTACTAGAATTTAGACTAGAATAGGGTACGTTAATCGTCTGCTTGGGACCAATAGGCTACTAAAGTGGTGAGCCAATTTAAAATCGTTAGTTTCGTATTGATTGTTGATGTTACGTTGCTTAAATACAACTAAATCATAATGTTTTCTAATGTTTGACATCAGGCATACATTTGATTTCGATGCTGATGTAGACATCAAAATCAAACGTTGGGCTAATGTGAATTTCTATTCGGGTGTACTACGAGGAACGGGTGGTGGCGATACCCAGCTGAATTTGAATCGGAATATTCTCGCACAGAAAATCCATCAGCCGGGTGGCTTCCTTCACCATTCGGCTATTCCTTCTCAAAATCCTTGGCCAGCACCAGCAACGGATAGAACTTGGGCCGAGTGGACGTTGAATTCCACCTGCTTGACATAGGGGGTTTCGTTGTCCAGTGAGGCTTTTCCTGGGGTTAGGATCAACAGTTCGAACGAAATCAACAGTGGCATTGTGCCCTTTCATGATACCACACACCGACGCCTGGTTGCTTCTTTTCGTCAGACCGGTTTGAGTCTTGGAAGTGTGTGCCGTCTCCTCCATGATGCTTTTGATGTCTTTGCCCCAACGACCGATTATGAACGAATGATCCGTAGTCTATTTTTTATAGTGAGTATGGCAGAGTGATTGACGGTTGATCTGAAAATTGCGAGAAACTGCACTTCTTGCTTGACAATTTGTGTGCATGCAGAAGGGATAAGTTGTGAAAGGAAGAATGGACAAGATCGATCAGGAGATGGATTGGAATTTTGTGCACGTTGGAAATTTTATGAGAGATTTGGGTAAAAATGGGATAATCCTGAAGTGTAGTGTAGTAATTACTTGGGATTTTTGGGGAGAAACATAATTGATGGAATATTTTGAGTGTGTTGAATTGATGAAAATAGAGTTAGACAAAATAAATGGGAATGGATTGGATGCGAGTGAATATTTCAGAGAGATACTAGTCTGAACGCGAAGAGGATAAGTGTAAAACGGCATAACAATCTGAAAAATCCGCTGCAGCAATATTAACCACAGCTCAACGAACGAAATAAACAGCTGCATCATGCCCGCTCAACACCTTCCATGTTACCACACACTGACACCTTGTTGATCTTCTCCATCGGATTTGATTCAATCGAGCCATCACTTTATCCTTGGTCTTCAGCGATAGATTTTCTGTGTGATATTGGCTCAATCAAGGAATAGTGAACAAATAATGAAAAAATCACGAATGAGTTCTCATTTTTTTTCTGAAAAAGGTGCCAATTTGTGAGTGGTGTTGAGTGGATGTAAACAAAGGCAAGAAAATTAATATTTTTCAAGCAAAATAACTTGAAAATTGAAAGTGATCAACTCCGCCAGTTGCTTCACCTCACTTGCTGTAAAATATTGTTTTTCGGAATTATGAAATCATTAGATGTTATATTGGTAATTAGCTCGGTAACTATTACTTTTAAGTTACAAGAATAGGTAGTAAAGTATGTGTTTGGTACATAAAACCTGTCAATATTGCTTTCAGTGCGTCACAATAAGCGATTTCATGATTCATGAGTACTCATTCTGAGTGAACGCTCACGAATCATAAGATCGCTGATTGTGACGCTCTGAAAGCGGAATTGTCAGGTTTATGAAACAAACATACACTTTGCACCTCGCTTTGCACCATCTTCTTGTTATCTAATGATTTCATAATTCCGAAAAACATTTTTTCTGATCAAGTAAGTGGAAGCAATCCTGGATTCCGCACCATTCAGGTTGTAGTAGATAGTTATGAGTTTACTCAACGTTAAGTTCCCAACTACACAGTAAAAAAAATTGTAATATCGATCAACGTAATTCAAGCTGATGTATGAAATAATCACAGACAAACTGACATAACACATTGAATATTTCTCATTTTAAAACATCGTCGCTAAAACATTACCGCCATCTGTTGAGTACACTGTGGTGGGCACTACACTGAACAGATGGCGGTAGTGTGTAAACGTCAAACGCAAGGGAATTAACTATGTGCGCCACAGGTGGCGGTACTACCATAGAGGTAACTCTAAGACTAGAAGGTGCCGAAATAACGTGCTCAACTTTTTGGCTCAGCTCTGGTACTCTCTTCGGTCCCAAGCTAATCGATTCACCCCTCGAAACATAGGAAAAACCAATAACCCCTCATTTTACCTGTCAAACTTTCATAGCGAATCAAAACAAACATTGCGTAGTACTAGAATTTCGACTAGAATGGGGTACGTTAATCGTTTGCTTGGGACCAATAGGCTAGTCAAGAAGTGAGCCAATTTAAAATCGTTAGTTTCGTATTGATTGTTGGTACTACCAACTACGATACTTTTAAATTGTAGTTAAATGCTTGTTCGATGAACAAATTGTGAGTGTTATGTCTGTTTGTCTGTGAAATAATGATGTAATAGCAAAAAGCAGATACAATATTACATCAATAAATGTAATTTTGTTCGCAAAATCGATGTACATCGTACAATGTGATATTACACAACCGATGGATTGACCTGGTTACAGCAGTTTCGATGTAATATTCAACAACTTTTTTTTGCTGTGTACGAACTTTACTACCTCTGTTGGGTGGTTTAGCTCCTCCGTTTTTGACAACATTAGAAGGAGAAAAGGAGACAAACAAGTCAAAAGTAACCCTAATAAATAAATACCATAAACGAATGATAACCCAAATTATTGAATAATTCCACAAATGGTTTGGATGATACCCGGAACACATCGTAAGCAAAATAATCATAACTATTTTATTCGGGAAAAGTGAACTAGCCACTGGGTACCTTTTTCTTAACGTGTAATAATCACTTCAATCGACGATCTGTCTTAACTACTACTTTACTCACGCAAACTAACGCGACCATCAAGGGGAACCTTCCCCCTACCTGTTGTTGGTGCTAGTTTGTGTAAATGAGCTATAGCAGTTGCCACAATTCGTGGGTTGAAGTGATTGTTTACAAAATCAGATACGCTGATTTGAATAGTTACGCTTGAATTTTTGTCTGTGTCTCATGCAGGGCTGTGATTAATTTTTAAACTGCGGATCAAGAAACATCGCACACTATCTGTCAACCTTCATTTCTTTATTTTGCTCTGTTCTTTCTGCTGCAGAGCAGAAGCGTGCATGTTTTCGTCCTCGTCCGTCAGGTCGAACTGGTGTTGAATAATCATCTAAACTTACTGCTACCTCCCGTAACAGAAATAATGCTTAAGGTAAGTCAAGTTATTTAATTAACTATATTCGTATTGATATTGAATGAAGTTTGAACTTAGTTTACAGATCTATACCGTCGGTTAGCCCCGGCGCCACTCTGGTCGAATGCCTTACGATTGTGTTCTACTCAAGCGACACCTACTTCATCATCTACTAGCGCGGCTGTCATGCAACAACAGAGCAACGCCTTGGATCTACCGGATAAACTGTACAGCCGGCTGGAACTGCAGATGAAAGGCATCGATCCGGAGGTGATGAAAAGCTACGCCTATTTTGCCAAAACTGCCGCCGAACATTTGGACATCGAAGTGGGAAAGCAGTGAGTATCATTCACAATCGAATCGAAACGAATACGCTGGAATTGAACTTGTTCTGTCATTCACATAGTTGGGCCCTCCGGAAAGCGGTTAAGGATCGGATGACTCTGCTGAAATCGGTCCACATCTACAAGAAGCACCGCGTTCAGTACGAGATTCGAAACTACTACCGGTTTATGCATTTCCACAAACTTACCGGATCTACGCTGGAAACGTTTCTGGAGTACATTGAGCGGAACCTTCCGGAGGGGGTGGCTCTCAAAGTTACTAAAGTAGAGCTACAGGAGCTGCCTGAGCATCTGAAGCCGGGCAGTGCGTAGAAAAAGATCGGTGCTTACATGGTTGGGTTTAATTATTATAGGACAGAGTAGTACACGGACACGGAATAAACATATTTCAGATCACAGCTTAAACTTGAACATTATTTGTAGTGGTTACAAGTAAATGTAGGGGCTAATAGTTACAAGCATTGATGCAAACTGGTTGTTTTGTCTCATAGGACAAAACTATTAACATTTCTGATGTTTATAACACGCACATTTGCGTAATCCCATTTGTAAGTGCGAAGGCTTATCTAATCTATAGTATCTTCAGGCAAAACGTATTTTCCAAACAAAAAAAAACTTGTTTGTAAAATACGATTTGAACGAAAACGAGAATACTGGAGGGCTTTTCAAATAGGTCGTATGTAACAAACGTAATTAAATTGACATTTTAAAGCTACCAGACACTACTCTGCTTTCTCTTGTGTTTTTTTTTCCTAATAAAAGGGAAAATTTTGCATATCTTCGATGTAAAACGGTTGTGGTGATCTCGAGGGTGGTCTATGAAATGATAACTACGCTGAAATATTACTCATTATAATACATTTTAAACCATTCAAATGCGCACGGTCGAATGTAACACCACGACACGCAAAAGGTCGTATAATATTGGTTAAAGAAAAGTTTGTATTCAACAGGAACGCTATCAATTCCTTGCTCAGTCGATAGCAGCAGAGCTGGAGATGTTAATTTAAGGGAATTTTGAAAGAATTATCTATCTCATCATAAGAGGAAAAAACCAACAGGTTGTATGTACAGTATTTACGCTTCAGTCAAATTTGTTAAATACGACGATTGACACCCCCATAAAAGTTAGGTGTAGTATGTAACATTGAGCTATGTTTTAATCAATTGGCACATACGATAAATTAATAGTTTTTCGATGAGAAAATTAAACAGAATTGAGGTAGCGGTAGCAATTTCCTTTAGGAAGAGTCAGCAGAATAGTGTCTGGTAGCATTAAAATGTCAATTTGATTACGATTGTTACGTACACAGCAAAAAAAAATGTAATATCGATCAACGTAATTCAAGCTGATGTATGAAATAGTGATGTAATAGCAAAAAGCAGATACAATATTACATCAATGGATGTAATTTTATTCGCAAAATCGATGTACTCCGTACAATGTAATATTACATAACCGATGGATTGACCTGGTTGCAGCAGTTTCGATGTAATATTCAACAACTTGTTTTTGCTGTGTACGACCTCTTAAAAAGCACTGCAGAACAAACTCTCTCGCAACACGAGAAAAGGGCCTATCATTGTTGATCGATTCTCTTCATCGATTTTATCTTTCGCGAATAACCCGACTGCAAATGAATTTCCCATTCAGTGTTTTGTTTTAGGCGCAAGCTATTATCGTTGAAAACCGGAAAATCCCACACGCACCAATTGAACTTACTCTCGTTCTGTACGTTAAACATAACGTCGGCCATTGAGTTGATGGGTCGATAGGTAGGGTCCAGGTGTGGAAGCTGCCTTCCTGTGGCACGTCGGTAGCATTGGTGCTCAGCACGGAAAACAAGATCGACGGAAAAAACAAACCAAAGGAAAAAAAATAACGTTGGACATAGTGCGCTGTATTCGCACAATGATGCGCTATTCAGCGTACTATGTCCGACGTTATGTTTAACGTACAGAACGAGGGTAAAATCGAATGTCCCGTGTGGGTTTTCCGGTGTCCAACTTGAACAACAATAACATCATCTTCTGTCGAACTGTGATGCGAGCTTAGCGAGAATTTCGTTTATGTTGCCGTGGTAAACCAAAGAGAAAGTCGATGAAGAGAATCGATCAACGAGGATAGGCCCTTTTCAAATTTTCGAGAATTGTCCTTTTAATCATCTTCATCAATCATCATAATCGTGAAAAAATCACTCCGCATCACCCTAAAGTCTAGCGATAGTTGAGGTGCCCGGCCCTAGGCTGCGCTGTGATCGATGGGCATTATGGGCATTATTATTTCCCAATGCTACCCTGGCAGGTATGTCTCTTTCGGCCGGCCATCATGTTTCAAATCTGTCAAACTTTTTCCATCCCAATCGGCGTTTGGTGCATCGCAGAGAATTTTTTTTGCTAATTTTCTCTGGAAATTATCTTTCCGGTCTCCGATCTTCAGCAGTTTCTTAAATAAGGTAAGTTTTGCTATCTATTGCCTACAAAATTTGGGCAGTTACTATTCAAAATCGTCCTCTAATTCGACGACTAAAACTATCGATTATTTTCGCCGGCACAGCCAAACACCCTCGCTCCAAGGCAACAAACAACATGGTTCGTACCGGAATGATGCGCGGTGGTGGCCGTGGCGGTATGGGAATGGGAATGCGCGGCATGCGAGGTGCCCCGTTCATGAACAAGAAAAGCTTCCTCCCGCGACATCCGTTCGACCTGACGCTGGCGGAGCCGGCTTTCCCGAGGGTATCGACTGCACCTGATGACTCCGTTCTGACCACTGCTCTGCTCAAGCGCAGTCAGGATCTAACGCCTTCCCAGCCGGAACAAACAGCCATTTCCAACCTGGTTACCAAGGTGCAGGCAGTGCTGGACAACCTGGTCGTTGCCCCCGGCGATTTCACCAAATGCCAACTGGACGAGGTTAGGCAGGTGGGTTCCTTCAAGAAGGGAACCATGATGGCCGGTCACAATGTGGCCGATATTGTCATCATTTTGAAGACGCTTCCCACAAAAGACGCAGCCGAAGTCCTCGGCAAGAAGGTCGAAGAAGACATCCAAAAGTCGATGAAGACCGAAGTGGTCCCGAAGGCGGAAGCCATTGCACTGGAGTACAATGAAAAGTGCTTCGAGATTTGGAACTCATTGGCCCGTGTTCGTTGTTTGATTGCAACTGTTCCGCAGAATATTCGCAAGCTGGATGCCGAAAAGCATCTGGATTTCAAGGTAGTTCAAAGCCACTTGGCTTCCATCCGGCACGCCCGTTGGTTCGAGGAAAATGCCCACCATTCCACCATCAAAGTATTGATCCGCATCCTTAAGGATTTATCCGAGCGGTTCGACGGCTTTGCCCCTTTGAATCCGTGGATTTGTGACCTGCTGGCCCACTCGGCCATTATGAATAACCCGAGCCGCCAGGCACTGCCGGTAAACTTGGCCTTCCGGCGAATATTTCAACTGTTGGCTTCGGGATTGTTCGTTCCGGGTTCGGCCGGAATTACCGATCCTTGCGAAGTGGGACACATCCGAGTGCACACCTCCATGAGTCTGGTCCAGCAGGACGAGTGCTGCATGGTGGCGCAGACCTTGGTTCGCGTTTTGGCTCACGGTGGGTACAAGCACATCCTTGGCTTCGTTGAGAATACCACCGTGGCGAAGGAAATGTCCGTCTGGGATGGGGTTGTAGTGTCGCCGATGGAACCGGCCTACGAGAAACCCGCCGAAAAGAAGGACGGCGAAGAGGAAGATATGGAGTGCGTCGAGGAATCCGCCATGGAGGAGGAGGATAACGGTGAGTAGAAAGAAAGAATGTTCAGCAATTTCTCAATCTCCAAATTGTGTATGCATTTTTTCTCTCTTGTGTAAGGTGTAGTTTTATTCTTAGAATACGAGCATTAAGTTAAATAATAAACCCACTAAGTGTGAATTACGATCAACCTAACAGTTGCGGTAAATCGAAAGAAGATCCCGCCGGTTTCGGCTGCCATTCGCATTCCTTTATTTCAGTTAGTCGGTAGTGTTTCACTAAACAGCTCGAACATTTGATCCAGTGGGCACGACGTACCGCTCGGTAACGCAGCTGCGGATGTCCATCGGTTCCAGTTCTGTTTCTCCGTTTTAGTAGTACATAGAAAAACATCCACTGATCGAAGCACATTCCCTCAATTCCAGAAGCAAACACACCAAAAACGGTGGAATATGAAGCTCGAATATATCACGCCTATTTGAGCAAGGCTCACAAGCTCAAATAGACTTTATTCGGATGAAGTGAATAAATAAATCAAATGTATTCAGAGATTCTTAAACGTAGGAGGTAGGTCTGCTACAATCTACGAAAGTCGAAAAGGCGAAAACGAAACCTGTAAGGGTAGGCTGGATTTGGAATCCGGTAGGACATCGCGGCAGAGACTGGCAAACCTGACGAAATCAAGCAAGTCGGTAGAAATTTGACTTGGACCCAGGTTGAGGCGAAAGCTAGCAGTTGCTCAGGATGGAAGCAATTCACGTTGGTGATATGCATCACTCATGGAATTTCAGAGACTCACCGGTGAAGGAGAACTTCAGAAATATAGAGAACTAAGTGCAAGTCATCCATTCTACCGATGATTTGTGGACGCTGGATCGTATCACCTAAGATCTCTAGATCTAGCTTTTCTGAGGTACTTAGAACTTTTTAAATGTTCCACAAGTATAGATACTAGGGGAAATGCAAGTAATGTCGGCCTAAGTGTCCCTAATTTGGGCCCATACATAAATTCAGCAATCGACTAAATTTTCAATAGCAACTAAAAATATCCATTAGTAACGTCCCAATAACGCGTTCATCTAGATAAAATTGATAAATAGCAGATTTTTAGCGATGGGCCCAATCTTAGATCCATAGGCCAACGTTAGAGACATTTCCCCTATCTATTATCTATTAGATAGAGCTGGAAGAAGGGCGTAACAGCTTTTGTAAACAATGTCTTCTCTCGACGATTTTTAGGAATGTAAGGAACGTCCACGCAAACCAACATAACCATCAGGGTAGGGTTTAACCAAAACTAACATTACTTAAAATAAAAAAAAATATCCCAATGCTTTTGTAAAAGTAATTTCAATTCTTATCTAGTTAAAAACAGGGACACAATCATTCAAGTTTTTTTTTAGCTCCCAACTACGAATGCTTCGATGCATCGAAGAATTTTCCTTTCGAAAAATGCTGTAAGTCTCAGAATCCCTGCACTTTGGTCAGATAGCGTTATAGGGCGTCGTTGTGCCAATTTGGACGTGGCACATTTCGAGTATGAGAGAGTGATTGTAGTTTGCTCAAAAGTGCCTGAGTAAAATGCATGTACTTTCGATGATTACCCGTAGTTGTTACAGTGAAGATATACACCCATATTCCCGTTTGTGTCTGGACGTGAAACATTTTTATTTGATTTTGTGTGGTGGATGGGTTTCGGGCGTGGACGGGCATATGGGTGATAATATTAAGTTTACGTTAGGATAACGTTGAAAAATTGAGAAATGTTTCACTTTAGTTTGAGAAGCACTTCACTGCGCAACCGATGAACCATTCTGACGGCCCACATTACCGTGCAGGCGTCGTGTGTTGGAAGGGTCCAATATTGGACAGTTTGATGTTTATAAAGTACCATCAGTTAAAACTGTATTTTTGAGCTGTGTTTCTTAGCAGATTATCGTGTTGGTGTATGCTGATTCAAAGAGTAAATGATATTAAAGCTGTCCATAGTTGGGCGTTGCCGAACTTGTGGTACTTGCACAACATTTCTTGTGAGTACCAAAGTAATCATATAATCACAAAATATCTTTAAATGTAGGTTCAGAGTGAGACAATGTCACTGAGATATGGTTAGTTGGGTATTCAGATGAAACTATTACTTTAAAAAACTAATCCTGGTTGTATCTCTTTTTCGTTTGCATGGTAACACTGTTTGATATTACTAACCGCACCGAGCCTTCATTCCGGGTGGTGAGCGAACCTGAAGAAGAAGAAAATGACCATGAGCCCCTTCTCGGAACGAGTGTATTGTTGATGGACCTGGTCTACGATTCAAGGTTGGATTCTGTGATGATAAGTATCACATAACAGGTAAAGTAGGCAGCATCATCTTTATAGAAATGTAAGTATTATTGACAATAATCATAACTAGATTATATGCAAATTTATATGATAGGTACCTGGATCAACGTTGTTTAAACATGCGCATTCAATCGTGACGGTATCTAATTCTGCATTTTAAACCTACCCAACCTTTTTCCTTTCTACAATCCCTGAGCCGCTGGTTCACCATAAGTGTACCTCGCAGAACTTTTTTAACCCCCATGGGTAAAGATGCTGTGTTGCTCACTCCTCTCCCCTTCCCTGGTGTATTATGGATGGTGTGAATATTCACATCGGTGACATGGCCCCTGACCCCCTTGTACATCATAAAATGAAAATGAAAAATGAACATTCAGAATGTTAAGAATTCCTTGGGCATTGGCATAACCTTGAGGATTGCTTAACTGCAACCAGGTCCCACCCTAATAAAATAATCATAAAAGAGAGCTTAACGACGTGTTCGGGGTATCATCCAAACCATTTGAGGGATAGTTTACCCATCTGGGCAGGGCTTGTCTGTATCTTTACATTTTGAAAGATGCACACTAGTGATGCCAGTTGTGATGTAGCGAACCAAAAGTTTGTAGGAATTTAACTAATAGTCAAAATTAAATAATTGTGAATTATGATTTTAACTATGAATTGTTTTTCTAATAATAATTGAGTCTAATGGGTGCAAACATTTATAAAAAAATATTTGGTTCAAAACTTTTGGAATGCGACATCACACAGGTAACTTAGAGGTAACTCTAAGACCAGAAGGTCCCGAAGATGCACCCATCGGAACATAGGAAAATCAACGAACCGCTCAGCGGCGCCGGTGGTGTAGTGGTAAGCGTGATTACCTCTCACCCCAGCAGGCATGGGTTCAATCCCAGTCGGCGCCACCGGGATGTTCTGAGGCATAACATCTCTGATCACGCCTTCCTTCAGAAGGGAAGTAAAGCCGTTGGTCCCCGGTTCATGAGATGATGGGTCGATAGGTAGGGTCCAGGAGTCGGAGCTGCCTCCCTGGCGTCGGTAGCATTGGTGCTCAGCACGGAAAACAAGTTCGACGGAAAACAAATCAAGGAAAAAAACGAACCCTTCATTTTATCTGTCAAAGTTTCATAGCGAATCAAAACAAACATAGTGTAGTACTAGAATTTCGACTAAAATGGGTTACGTTAATCGATTAAAATCGTTAGTTTCCACCGGTACTACATTTGAATTTGGCTTGATCGAGTATTGATTTTCTTTTCCCTCCCCTTGGCTAGTTTTTACACCTTGCTGTTGGTGGGCGGGCTTAATTTCATGCTAGTGGAGTGTTGGAGACGGTGGGTTTATGGTCGGCGTTGCTGGCTCATGCCGCGATAGAATGGCGTCATGGGCAGGCAATGGGGATTACTAAGCTTCCCCTCTCTGATAAACCACTGCATGAGAGAACCAAAGATCTAGTCTAGCAGTGATAGTATCACACTTGTTACTCCTTCGATTGAGAGCCGCGTCGTAGTACGCTTACGTATAGGCACTGACGTCGGGTGCGATACTGGCGGGTTTTGCCGCAAATCACTCTTATTTTATTTATTTTTACGCAGATAGATTAATTTGGGTTTGCAAGGGAATTATACTATTGAAATATTTCAGAAAGTGCCCAACAGTGCTCCTTCTATTTGCGTGACAAGCTTTCATTGTTGTTTTCATTGAAGTATTACTCAGGAAACAATGTTAAACATCATTTTTGTACATGGTATTGTAACTAATCTTATATGTGCTTCATTTTGATTTGGGATAAGTGTTTGAACTATGGCTCGGGATTTCCACTGTGGTGTGCTTCTATTGTGACATACCCATATGTATTTTTGTGGTGCCACATAGTGGAGGCGTGAGAGCGTAGTTGGAACATTTACCCTATACAATATACAATTTAAAATTAGCTTGGAAACTAACTTCAAAGTGAAGCATTTTAGTCACTTAAAGGTGTCACCTGGGACGAACAAAGATATAATTAATATATGTCAAAGCCAGAAGTACTAGAAACACGTTAAATTTTAGTTTAAAAGCATGGGTTATGATTGTGTAGGTAGATTAGAGATTTCAGTTATTTATTAAATAAACTTCAATTAGAGAATTCAGAAAGTTAATTAACATAAGAGATAGGACGCGGGGGGTCCGCTTAGGGAGGCGACTAGCCTATGAAGTTGTATAATAAATCTTCCTATTTAGTGTATTTGTTAATTACAGACAATGTCAATAGCGAAAGTCATATCTTCAACCAGGCGCTTACGAACAAGTGAAGTTTTAGGAAAGATGTGTTAAATATGTTGATAGGTTTGAAATAAGAATTAGGATTGTTGTGCTTTAGTTTTCGGTAAGGTATGATGTGTCAACAAAGCCCTTTTGAGCAAATTTTCAAACATCAAATTGATTGAGTGATTTATTGAAAGACATTGCGTTGCGAAAATTGACAAGTCATACATCTAACATAGTAGTAGTAGCAGTGTCGCATATTCTGATCACAATTGCTGCAAATAGTGCTGGAGGAGTCGGCAGGGCTGAATACGGATCAAAACTAACATAACTACTAACACTAAAATGATCTTTCTATTGTTTGGATCAAGTACAACTAATACTAATCTACCTTTATGTATGTTTTACTCCCTTTTAACCCATTATCTTTATGAATGGCGAATCATATGACGTGAGACACGTACAAGCTGGAACTCAAAGAATTACTTCGAACAGGATATCAAACAAATTCAGGACCAATCCAAATGAGACCAGAAACCAACAAGGCATCGGGGCGTTATATACTCGGA